TTCTGGTGATTTCAATAAAACTTACCTCTACTGGACTGGGGATTACAGGGGAACGAATCAAGAAAGAAAATTATTTTTGCTGAATATGGTTTTGGATTTCAGATAGTCATAGTACACAATATTCTGTGGGTCTTGAAAATTCAGTAAAAATCATCAGAAACGGCTGGCAATATGGGAGTACCTGTTCTGAAATAGGCTGGCAGTCAATGTTAACGCATGTGCGAATGACCCGCCCATTTATAATAATATCACTCAGAATGCCACGGACACGTGTGTGTGTGATGTGACAGCGGTAACGTGGTCATATAATACACTCGTATATATACACGCACAGGGGCCATTCTCTGATGTTGTGTGACACACGGAGGAGAGGAGGAGACACGCTGAAATGCAACCAAACTCGCAAAATTAAAGCTGGGGTACCTATATTTTCCCTTTCATTAATAGCTCTTGTTGGTTGTACCCAAAAGTAGAAGGTTGTGAGCAAGTCAAACAGATTGAAGTACATTTGGTATGAATAACAATGTGTCATTACATTTGAAAATCTCATTAAACTTCAATTGGAGTGGATTTGAAATAGAATGTTAAAAATGCGATTAATCGTGAGTTAACTCATCATTACTATGCGATTAATCAACTAAAAAAAAATAATCGTTTGACAACCCTAGTAATAAATAAATGTGTTTTGTGTTGCCCCCAAACAATAATGGAAGAGTTTTCCTGCTGGATTATTTGTTTGGCTGTTGCTACCTTTACAACGGTCACCTGGCATGACTCAGGCTTTTGCTCTGAACACTGCTACTGCATCGTACCTGCAAGACTCGGTTGAATAGCTGCGTGTAAAACAATGTTACTTATTCATGTTAATTCATAATACAGCTGCCAAAAATTCAAGGTCCACCACATAAGTAAGTAATAGAGCCTATATGGGGCTATAATAGATATTCAGGGGCATTTAGTAATTTATCAACGGTGTGAAAACTTAGAAGCGGCTTGTGAAAAGGGCAACATGTTTTTTTTTTGTGGTACGCTACCTTTGCCTCAAATAAATCACCTTTATGTATTTCATAATTTCAAAACACACATTAAAAACACATTCAAACATATGGCCAATAGTTTTTTTTTTAACCTCTTTACACCAACCGGCGCGCCGGTGTGCCGTTTTTTATGTTTTTAAATGTTCTGCTGGCAATAGCAGATGTATTTTGAACACCAAACCCCAAAAGCTGTATATCATTTTAAAGCTTATTTTCTTTCGAAGCGGTCCGGCTCCGGGTTCGAGACCACCTCGTCCAGGGTGAGGAGGGAGCCGATCTCCGAAGCCTCTCCGTCCTCGCAGTCACCCCACTCCGCGGGCACGGGTGGAAGGTCGAGTGGGGCCCAGTCAGTCTCAGACTCCTCGTCCTGAGAGGAGTCCGGACGGGGCGCTGCACGCCTGCGTTCGCTCTCCTCCCTGGGGAGAGCGAGACACGAGGTGCAGGTGGCGCTCAACGCCGCATGGCCCGGGCCCAGGCACATGAAGCAGCTGGAGTGCTGGTCCGTGCGCTGGAGCCTGACTCGACACGTCGAGCAACAACGACGTCCGACGCCGGAGGGCAAAGGGGAACTCGGACGAACAGCAGAAGACATCTCTCAGAATGAAGTGAGTACTGTGGTAGATCTCAATCGGCGCCAGAGTGAAAGAGGGGGTGCGGCCTTGTGCAGGGGCCTTTATAGAGGAGGGTGGCTGGGGATTGGAGCAAATTATTTTGATCTCTCTGGCGTGTGACCTGGGGGTCACGAGTGATATCCCACTAGCGAAGTCCTAAGGGACGTAGCACCATGACATAGAACACATAATGTGGGCACAAAATAAATCAATTCCGAAATAGTTTTTTACCTTTGGGCTTGTGCTGTACAAATAAATCATCTCTCCTCCCAGCTTGCAATACATCATTCTCTCTGGAACAGTCCAAAGGAAAATTATATCCACTTATATTTCCCAAAGTAAAATCCATTCTGCAGAAATAATCCAAAAATTAGCATTTATCTTTAGCGAAAAAAACGACACACAGATGTTGCTTTTTCACTTTTAACGGACTTTTAGCTTTGTTTTTCACCCAAACATCTGGTATCTACGTGTTCCTTAGCTCCTTATCTTTCAAATGAGACTACTCCCGAAAAGCTAGACCAATTTTTGGTCTGCAAGAGCTCCCGTGAGTACAGCTAGCGCTGCTGTTTGCGCATGGATCACTGATCTTTGTTGTGATCCCAACTTGTTTGCTTTTACTTCCGGGATTTTCGATTGACATGTCCGTGTAGCCAATGAGGAAAGCTTTCGAGCAAGGGGTGGGCCAATGGTGTCCTGTCTTATGTTGTGCCTGTAGAATTGTGCGTAATGGAAGCCAAAAGACGCTCTCGAAGCTGCAATGAATTTACACTCATAAAAAAATAACTTTGACATTTAAAAAAAAAAACACACACATAGATTAGTAACTTATAAGTACCAATAATAAAAAATATTGTTTTTATGATGATTAAATGTAAGTAAAGATATATACTTGATGAAAAGGAGAAACTGCATAAAAACTATAAAACTTAGAAGTCTGAAACTTTAGACAGTTGTTGTCAACAACACAATGAACAGAGGGTTTGAATATTGTGAACTTACAATGAAGTATGCCTTTTTAGGGCCTTTAGAAATTGAAAATGTTAGGCGAGGCTAAAAAAATTTGTTTTTTTTCCCAAACTTCAAAGGATGCAGAGGAAAATAGGAATGACAAACATTATTTTAGTGTTTTTTTACATAAACTAGAAGGCTCTAGCTTTAAAATGATGCATCACACAAGCATGTGAGATGTAAGATGTGTTTTTAAATAAGCAAAGACATTTGGGTATGCCCAACTTTTGTGCACAAGCCAAAATGAGGCGGGTTTTTTGCAAATGCATCTTTTTGCTTGTTCCCTGAATTAATTGGTGAGCGCGGTCACATTATAGAGCCATCCCCAACACTATGCACACAAGGGTTTACATGTAATTTAATCAGTTGGTTTAAATTGATTGAACCAGGTTGTTTATAGTTTTCTCATGCAAACTCTCTGTGATTAGCAGGTAGTTGGTAATAATTAGATTGCAGAGCTTGTCTGTGTAACCAGGATGTATATACATAAACTGCAGACTTTGACTTACTACTAAAGAACCTTCCTGGAAATGTTTGTAGGGAAACAAGAGTGATGTTGGCTGAAGGGAAGCCGTATTTGATACATGTACTTGTATACACAAACAAGTACATGTATTGTGCGGGACACACCCTTAGTATCCTTAGTATTCAGTAATCCTTAGTATTCAGTAAAGCCATCTGCTTTATTACAAAATGTACCACTTTTTTCATTTAAATCCAGAGGGCTCATGCACGAGGGCTACGGCATTTCAAAATTCCCCGCTCTGCGAAAGTGTAATACATAACATCTGACTGTCAAGTGTATTTCTTGGGGTGTTTTTTATTGGTCAACTTTGACACCCACATTTACACGAAAGATCTGACCTGTAACTTTGTTCACTGTTTTAAACTGCTCATAATCATAAACCATGCAATGTGAACTGTCATCTCATGGAACATTGTTGAAGGCAATAGAGGTTACTAGGGGTGTGCATTGCATCTGGTGATACAATACATGGATACACGGTACAATATCTCCCAATACTCCCAAACTACAGTATAATGCAATTTTTGATGACTTTGGAAAAAATGTACATTCTCTTGCAAGATGCTCCTGTTCCTACTGTCTGATGAGTGAGTAGCAAACAAGCAAGACACTGAATTGAATTTTTGGAACATAATGTACTTGTAAAACATATATTTTCAATCGTTATTATACATTTTGATACAATTTGATGTATTGTTTCTACAAGGTTATAAATGGTTGTGAAATGGCAAACCGATAACACCCTATAAAATACAATAGTTATAGAAATGCTTATAAGACAAAATCAACCATTCATTTGTAATTCCTCCTTTTTTTGGCTTCATCAAACCTTACTTTGTGGGAACAGGTTGAGGATTGGAAATTTTGGCTCATTGGAGGTTGGTCAAGAACATTGATGCCACAAGGCCAACAGGACTCCAGTGAACTGCTGTGACGCCAACTGTGATTTAATATGTGAGCGTAGAATCAAGCAGTGTGAGCAGGAAACGGGATCACTACTGGTGCTTTGTAGGGAAGACAAGTCCATGAAATAGAGCAGAAAGTGAATAGAAGAAAAGCATGAAGTGGTGCCTGGTCACATCAGTGAAGGTTGGTTGCTTGTATAAACCTTTTATGAGATTATTATGGTTATAATAGTACTTTACACATTAATGTATAACATCTTACATCTGTGTCTGTTTGAAAAGTTTGTGTGGATATGATTTCTAATTGAGTGGTCCTCTCCGTATTTCGTTTCTTTGATCAGATTTTATAACTGCCTCTTTGAATGCATGCAACCAAATAGCCTAAGTATACTCTCTTTTGAAGAAACACATCTATAGCCTTTTCAAAAAGAAATAATGTTGCTTGTGTCCATGATAAATACGACCAGCCTTGAGCACTTTTCAGGACCATTGGTATTGTACTCTAAACACAGGAGAACAGGGTAGCTGCACATTCATTCAGTTTGACATAAACAATATCAAAGACATAACCTTGGAGTTACAACAGAATGGATGCGGGTTGCATGAGAGCAGAGGGAACCACTCCCAAATATGAATGACAACATTTTTATCAATCGTTACAAAGCAGGATTAGATATGCGCAACATATACTGTATATATCCGACATCGCAAAATGGTTACTTTTTCAGGTATATAGGCATCTGTTGTTTGCCGGTTGTTACAATAAAAATGTGTTTGCTACGTGGTCTCACATCCACCTGTTTTCCTTCAAACATAAGGCTAATGATTAGACTTTATGCTTACTTGGTAATAACAGATTCTGGTAAATCATATATCATGCAAACCCAGAATTTCTCATGAATAGAAGTACCTGTAGCCTCCACCATGCCCTCCAAGATGACCACGATTTCGAACTCTTCCTTCTCCATCTGGGCCATTGACAGCTCCCAGAACGGACTCTTCTCATTGATCTCGTGGGAGATGATGAGCGGAGACACCAGGAAGAGGCGATCGTCCCCAGTGTCAAATCCAATGTTAATATCCGTCTGGTTGAGCGGTATGAACTCCCCTTCTTTAGTCTGCTGAGATCGGATCAACTTGGCCCGAATCGACGCCTCCACGATGTGGGAATTCCTCAGGTCTCCCACTCGGAACATCAGGCACATCTTATTGTCTCGTACTGATATAACAGCAGTATGGGAGAACATTAAAGTTTCTGCACGGTTCTTTGGCTGGGATATTTTGACGAACATGCAGCCCACCATCATGGCATTCACAATGGAGCCCAAAATGGCCTGCACCAAAAGCAAAACAATACCCTCTGGACATTTTTCTGTGATTACCCGATACCCATACCCAATGGTTGTCTCTGTCTCGATGGAGAACAAGAAAGCAGAGACAAAACTATTGAGATTCTCCACACATGGGGTCCAGCCCTCTTCATCAGCATGTAACAAGTCCCCACGAATGAGCGCAATCAGCCACCACAGGAAGCCAAAGAAAAGCCAGTTGACAACATAGACCAAGGTAAAAATGAAGAAACTAAGTCGCCAGCGCAAGTCCACCAGCGTAGTGAACAGGTCACTGAGGTATCGATAAGTCTCTTGGACGTTTCCGTGGTGGACATTGCACTTGCCGTCTTTCTGCACATAGCGCTGACGTGGCTTTTTCGAAGGGTCTGTAATCAGATGGGTCCGGTCCGTAGGGATTTGAGCGTCTCGTAAATGTTTGGGCAGTTTCTTCACCTATCAAACAAAACATACACAGGGATTATTCTGGTATGGTCGAGAATCGATTGTAAAGTAGAGTGCTAAGATTGCTTTTATTAGGGGTTTAAACTGTTAAAATTAGATCGGTCCCTCACTGAACACCAGGATGAAAAACACTTATGTCTTGCCAGCTTGAAACAGAAAAGTATGGCATGCCATTGGAATATCTTTAAACATTACATCCATATTATTCCACTTTATTGAGGTGTGGATAACTATGAATTCTGAATTCTATATCCGGATCATTTTAGTAGCATACTTGATTCTTTTACTGTTTATTGGTAATCCAATGAGTAAATATTTCTTAAATGACTTGCTTGTTGCACTCTTGTTTTGTATAGAAATACAAAGACACAAGGGCAGCAGCTTTGTCTGTGCTTGCTCTCATCCAGTGCACTGTCCCTTTTGTCCCTTTCCCTCCTCCCTTTCACACTCTGGCAACTCCAGGTCCCATCCATCCTGCCCCAATAGAAGAGCAAATGAATCACTAAATTAAGTCTGAGAAATTCAGTTCACTTTGTCTAAAAACACAATTGAATTTCCTCTAAATCACCTGCCGTGCCTCGGTTTTGAGGAATTTCTGTGACAGGTGGAGGACGAAGGGAAGGTCAGACGAAGAGACCTCTGTATAAGACCAAGGACGTGTTGCCGGTGCATTGACACTTGTGTACAACTCATGAGTAGAAAGACAGTGAAGGACAACCAGCCACATTACAGAGCCAACAGCTACGATTTAAATACAATACAGTTCAATAAATGTAAAGTAGAAGTCAAGTGACAAGACTAAGTATCACGTTCAAGAAGCTGTTAATTAGTGAGAGAAGACAGAAGAATGCCAACGCATTGCCATCCATTTCCTCACATTTGCGGCAGGCTAATTGAGTGATAGATGAAGTGTGTCACTTGGCATTGGCCTTCACATTGCCAGTATATATTCCCCCAAGGCAACGAACCATAAACAAATTCATTAACCCACTTCAGAAAGGCCAAGGTAAGTGGTGGGTGCTTTATCTCATTGAGTCTTTGCACTGCTCGAATGGAGCGAACTCCAATCGTCTTGTGGGTTAGACGGATATTGGTTTCAGTTGGTACTATCCTTAAATGGCTTTTCCTGCACTTCTGCAATCTAAAGTGAGATAAAATACCCATTAGTCCCCTTCACTTATACGATAGGTTAATTGGATGCAACATATTTAGACCATTTCTATATCCGTTCCCGTTTGGGAAAATATTGTATAAGTATATTTTGGGTTGAACTCAGATTTGTCATTTCACATGCATAACTGTGGACATATTTAGATCCCTGTTGTGCACTAAATATAACTAATGTGACTGAATACACATGAGGGGAATCATTGATTGGAAATGGGCAGACTTCAAGGCTTAATCTGGTCCCAGTGAACATATACATGAGCTTCACTTGACCTTGCATGAGGGGAAAACAAACATGAGTGCACATATGCAGTACATACATTAAACATCATGCCTTCATTAAATGTTGATGAGTACAAATACACAACATGTAGTACATATCAAGTAATGTAGCTGAGTAGATACATTCCCAAAGTAAATGATTGTTTGGATGTGGTTAAGGTAAATATTATTGTCTCATTCACAACAATTATTAATACCACCATAATGACTCCAACATTTTGAGTTGAAGGTATGTCCTTAATTTGATATTTCCATCTTTCAAAGACACATTGTGCATTTTAAAAATGTAAATAGCTTGAACAATGATTTCAAAGTCATAATTTACCTGAGCCGGTGTGACTCCTATCTCCATGTTGTGGTCCATTAGGACTCGGGAATCTCCTGCCATCCTCAACTGCTCAGCACCTGGAAAAAAATCACACCAAAATACACGTTTATGGTATATCATAAAATACTGTATGTAACCAACAGCTCACCATTTTGAGAGTATCCATTGTAGAGTATGTGTATTATTTGCTGTATTTACTATTTCATAAACCTTGTTTTACTTCCTAAAAACATTTGCTTGGAAAAACTACAGAAAAAAACTAAAAAATAATGTACTTATGACCAATACAGACTGATTTAAAACACAATCATTTAGAGATTGTTGATTTAAACAAAAGAATGACTCCATAACTATAGGATTAACATTTGAGTGTGTGTTTGTCATTAGACTCTATAGCTTCAGTCTAATGACAGATTTTTCTTTTGGTGTGGACCTAAGAGCGGGATCAAGACTAATAACTATACACAGTAGAGGACCTAAGGTAGATCATCGGCTAATCTGCCATGACCACACTGGTTTATCTGCACAGTTACATTTTAGTAGCAATTATTGTGTTTCTGGCATTCCACAGCACTATTCTCACAAAAAACAGCTTACTGGTGAATCAGGAAACAAGATTTATCTTGTGATAATGATTTGCAGTCCTTTGCATGTGCTTGTTTTTTCCCTTCTGATATTGTAATATCAGGTCATTTGCCTCCAACTGTGCTTTGGTTCACAGTATTGATTTGTGTTTATGGGAATATTGCAGTACACAAACTTATCCCCTGTGGAAGAATTAAGGAACAAACTCTGTGAGAGACTGTTTTTGGGGTGTGTTTTTTTCAAATAGCCTAAGTAAGTGATGTGGAGCAGGGGTTTTTTAGGCAGGGACCCCCACTGAAAACAAATAAGCTGCTTCTTTTTTCTAGTTCTTTGAACCCTGTGGATTATGTAGCGATGCGGCCAATGTGCATCGTTTTTATTGTGATATAGTTGGGCTGTTATCGGCACAGACTTTACTTATTATTTTGACTTCATCAGGTTTTAGTCAGTATAGGACACTACTATATTGTCAAAATTGTCTATTGTCAAAAAGATGATTGGTAAATGCATACTGTAAATATTAACGGACATAGTCACGCCTATCTCTGTCGTTGAAACTAATGTCCCTCCACATTTGCCCCATTCATTTAGCAAGTTCATTCAAGGGTCCACAAAGCTAAAACTAGACTGGTCCATAAAAAAAAAACTCCCCTCAGCATTGACACGCTTCTGGGCCAAGAGACATTTTTTGGACCATCCTGTAAAACCGTTTTCGAGAGGAGAGAAGATGGCATACAAAAGCATTGGGTAATTATTTTTCCGAGTACACCCCCACTGGCTAGGAGTGAGATTGCACATTAGCATCAGCGCACATGCTCATTTACCTCTTGGAGCCGGGACTCACCCCTAATGGATAAATGAGACCACACCTCATCGTGAAATCATGGTTTGACCCATTACAACTCGACATTACAACTCACAGAGCCTCTGGGAACACTTTGAAAAAGCAGCCGCGTTTCTTGTTGTTATTGTCTTTCTTGGAAAACTAACTTTTTCTCCATTATCTGACTTTAAAAGCATGTGACAGTTGCTCGTCATCTGAGTTTGAAGCGACAGCAGCCGAGTGTGGCGAGGCAAAGGCGTGCGTCACAAATCAGAGCCACACAGGACTGTGGTGTTGACAGTGATGGTCTTAGCAAAGGGCAGACTGACGTGACAAGCATCGCAGTGCTAGAACAAGAAGGAACACAAAAAACTCCTGCTTAGGTGAAGAACACACAGCCAATACATTACAAAAAGTAAGTACGGTTTCGCTTTCTGACTCATGTTTGGGTCTTCATGAATTAAAGATGGCTACCAACCACAAGATTTGCAAACTCCAGAGGTTTTGAGTGCTTTTTAGGAACACAGCCTGGAAACGTGGCTCCGAACTGATACCGATGCTAGTGGAGGAAGTTTTATCTTGGTGCTTTGAGTGGGTAACAAGCATTTATCTTGTTACCAGGAGAGTGACAGAATGCCGAGGTTGAATTGTGCCGGTCCTGATAAGACAGCACTCATCCATTGTGGTTAAGGCGAAAGCAGTTAAGGCTGGAAAGTGGGGAGATGCTACCTCATGTGGTATCCAGGCATATTATATGTTTGTGTTTGCTGACACTGCAGGCTGTAAACAATCATCGTACACTCACTCTGTGTTGGCGTTTTGCTTTTGAATTAGATATTTTTCTCCAATACTTCCATGTACTGTACCTCAGAGATAAAAACAGCAATCAGTTCCCATTGCGAGAGAGAAAAGCAAGTGTTATTAGTGAAGAATTAAATATTTGGTATAGTTCAAATTCTATTTAATACAAGCAGACCTAAGTCAATCATGTTTGTATTGTAACCTTCATCAACCTGAATTAATTCTTGATGTAACAGTTACAGGATTTATTTACATTGAAACCCGTGTTTTTCAAATATGTAAATGCGGCGGAGTTAGCCGTGTGTAGGCTAATTTTCATCGTGGTCCCATTGGCAGGTTGATGTGGAGACATATATAATCAAGACATACAACAGGCACAAACACACAATAAAAAACACATCCACAAAGACATAAAAAGGCAGTGATTCACAATATGTTGTTAAATATGTAAAAATATTTGCACAGCGGATCAACAAGAGACAATAAACAATACAGCACAATCTTCCAGTGGTCTATGCTTTCATATCATCAAGTACATTTAAATGCACACTTATTATCATAGTATAGTCTTAATGGATTGACTGAATGCAAATATTGAAGTAATGTATAAAGCCTGGGGAAGCATCGTGGGTGTAACTACTTTATGGAAGATGTTGCGTTCATTTGGCAGAAACAAGCTCCAGTTATATCCTGACATCTACGGCCCGAGATCTGCAGAAAGGTTAAATGCAGAGAGCCCATACCTTTGGACCAAAGAACTTTGATTGATTGATTGATTGTTATTTATTTGAGCATTTTACAAACATATTTTTCATTGTTACAAGGTTACACTGTTATAAAGTGGCTCAAAAGGGGTAGGCTGAAGCAAGAAAGCTTATTAGTGCCCACCCCCTGTTCCAAGTGATCACTTTAAGCTGCACACAATAACCGTGAACACAGGCATCATACAGTTTAAATACAATAAACACGAGTTCCTGAGTTACCCAGGCACATGCACATCAGAAGGTGCATGGGCCTGTTTACTTACAAGCAATTAGTGAATGATCATTTCCATACATAGGCACACCCAAGGCTCTGTGGATGTGCTCATCCATGATCACAATCAATTCTACGATTACAGTTGTCCACATTAACCAAACACACGTCAGCATTGATTAGAAAAGCATTCATGATTATACAATATATCACAAGTTTTTCACACGACTTCCAAGGTAAAATAATCATTACTATTATTTATGTGGGTTTATATATTCATATATACATATGCATATATATACACATACACATATATATATACATATATACATAAACATACACACACACATATATATATATACATATATATATTTTTTTTTTCTTCATTTCGTATAATAACCATATACCATCATTACCTAAGAATACCGATCACCAATCTTTTGACTGATCATGATTTCATTATTATTTGCATTACATTTGTCATAATTTTTATTTTTCAACAATACATAATCATGATTATAGGTCCCCTTACCATCATTCCCATTTTAGAATCACATAATTTATTTGCACTACACATTTTTGTAGAATGTCCCCTTGCCGTCATTCTCGATTCACTATAAAATATTGGTTGTGACTGTAGAATTACTTTTTGTTGTTTGCCTTTTTAAGTGAGATGCATTAAAAAGCAAGGGCGTGACGTGGCCAGTTGGCTGAGGGCAGAGACCCCCCCATCAGCTAGCCACACCCTGCTGCCCTAACTATGTATTGTGTAAGGTTTTATGTCCTGTGCCGGGTAGTGCTTTGAATTTGAGGTTGGTGACACTGGTTCTTTCGGCAATGATGTGGTTAATCAGATTCACGATAATACTTAACAGATTACATGTCTTTAGCATATTTCTCAAACACACTTTTCTTGTATTGTTTTTTGAATAGCTGTAAACAAGCAACGTCTTTTAAGGGTTCCTCTAGATTATTCCAAAAATGTACACCTCTCCGGGTAATACAGCAACTTTTTAAGGAAGAGTGAACACTTTGAACTTTGAGGTTATGAGTGCCTCTGAGGTCATATCTTCCATCTTCTTTTACCAAACATTTGTTGTATGTTGCTAGGGAATTACGACGTCATTCACGTCGTAATTCATTTTAATTCAGGCACTTGACGGCTTGGCCAATTGAAGTGAAAACTCATTATGGTAAACATGAAAGTCACTATTTATGGTTTTCTTTCCCATTTTCAATAAACAGTTTGATGTCATTCAGATGCAAAATTGCCGCTTTCTTGTGAGGGCCAGTAATGCAGCCACTTTTCCATAATAGATGGATGAGAATTGTGATGACATCAATGACCTTTGAGAAGCTGATGCATTCACCTGCCAATGCCTGTATAATTTATATACTTTGTTGACGTTGCTGCTGTGAAGGAGCGTGATTTGGGTAGATACTGTATGCGGGCTGGACATCCCACATTCAGCAATATTTTCAGTTTTACAAAACAAATTTATGTGTCTATTGCAGAGCGCTGATCCAAAAATGATAAGGTCAATTGTAAACAAACAACAAACAATGCAAGAGATAGAAAACTGCCCTCTATCCATCTCCGACTCACAATTATAACAAAACATTCCTCTATAAAGCTGAGGTCCAAAACTCTCACCTCCAACAAATCAACTATAATAAAAATTTACGTAACTAGTTCTTGGCTCTAAAACAATTTATTTCAATCCCTAATTTTCACATGTCATAATTTGATGGTAACTCACAGGGCTTTCTCATTAATTATTTTCTATTAATAAAGACATAAAGATAAAGACAGTATGCTCTGGTCTGATTTGTTCATTTTACATTATTTATGCAACAAATTATGTTAGGTACCACATTTCAGTAAAACATTTC